GCATTTGGATGATCCAGAAGAGGATTGGGAGAATGTCATATGGTCAGATGAAACCAAAATATAACTTTTTGGTAAAAACTCAACTCGTCGTGTTTGGAGGACAAAGAATGCTGAGTTGCATCCAAAGAACACCATACCTACTGTGAAGCATGGGGGTGGAAACATCATGCTTTGGGGCTGTTTTTCTGCAAAGGGACCAGGACGACTGATCCGTGTAAAGGAAAGAATGAATGGGGCCATGTATCGTGAGATTTTGAGTGAAAACCTCCTTCCATCAGCAAGGGCATTGAAGATGAAACGTGGTTGGGTCTTTCAGCATGACAATGATCCCAAACACACCGCCCGGGCAACGAAGGAGTGGCTTCGTAAGAAGCATTTCAAGGTCCTGGAGTGGCCTAGCCAGTCTCCAGATCTCAACCCCATAGAAAATCTTTGGAGGGAGTTGAAAGTCCGTGTTGCCCAGCGACAGCCCCAAAACATCACTGCTCTAGAGGAGATCTGCATGGAGGAATGGGCCAAAATACCAGCAACAGTGTGTGAATACCTTGTGAAGACTTACAGAAAACGTTTGACCTGTGTCATTGCCAAGAAAGGGTATATAACAAAGTATTGAGAAACTTTTGTTATTGACCAAATACTTATTTTCCACCATAATTTGCAAATAAATTCATTAAAAATCCTACAATGTGATTTTCTGGATATTTTTTTCTCATTTTGTCTGTCATAGTTGACGTGTACCTATGGTGAAAATTACAGGCCTCTCTCATCTTTTTAAGTGGGAGAACTTGCACAATTGGTGGCTGACTAAATACTTTTTCTCCCCACTGTATTTGAGATTCTTCAAATAGCCACCCTTTGCCTTGATGACAGCTTTGCACACTCTTGGCATTCTCTCAACCAGCTTCATGAGGTAGTCACCTGGAATGCATTTGAATTAACAGGTGTGCCTTGTTAAAAGTTAATTTGTGGAATTTCTTTCCTTCTTAATGCGTTTGAGCCAATCAGTTGTGTTGTGACAAGGTAGGGGTGGTATACAGAAGATAGCCCTATTTGGTAAAAGACCAAGTCCATATTTTGGATTCCATGTGTTATTTCATAGTTTTGATGTCTTCACTATTATTCTACAATGTAGAAAATAGTAAAAATAAAGAAAAACCCTTGTATGAGTAGGTGTGTCCAAACTTTTGACTGGTACTGTATGTATATATATATATATATATATATCTCATTATTTAAGTGATAATGCCCGAAAAGCCGGTGTTTGGAGGATATATTGGCATGGGTGTGTCACGCTCTGGCTCCGGGACTCTGTATGTTGAGCCAGGGTGTGTTCGTTCTGTGTGGGTTGTTTCTATGTTGGGTTTTCTAGGTTGTTGTTTTCTGTGGTAGCCTAAGTGACTCCCAATCAGAGGAAACGAGTGTCAGCTGTTTTCTGGTTGTCTCTGATTGGGAGCCATATTTAAACTGTCTGTTTTCACTTTGTGGTTGTGGTTTCTTGTTCCTTTTGGTTTGTGTGTATCGAAGGACTTCACGTTTCGTTCGTTGTTTTGATCGGGTGACCTGTTTAATAAATAATATGTACGCATTCAACGCTGCGCATTGGTCCTCCTCCTTAAGCGATCGTGACAGAAGAAACCACCAAGACAGGACCAAGCAGCGTGAAGAGGAGAGTGGATGGACCTGGGATCAGTGGAGTAGGAGTCTCAACTGGGCCCAGCCAAGCGAAGAGCAGAAAGGTTGGACTTTGAAGCAGTGGAGTGAGAGTCTGGTGAGAACTAGGGAGGCCTGGTCCACGGGGAGGAGAGAACCCCAGAAATTTTTTAAGGGGGGGCTCACGACGTCGGACCAGCAGGAGGCCGCGATAGAGCGGCCCAGTGGGTTGCCAGAGGAGGCCGCCAGGTTACGGGGGCCACTGGTCGAAGAGGGGATGGAGGATGTAGAGGCACGGCGAGAGGTACTGGCGTGTGTTGCCAGTCCGGTCCGGCCCGTTCCAGATCCCGGTGTAGGGCCAGTGGTGTGTGTCCCCAGCCCAGTCCGGCCCATCCAAGCTCCCCGCACCAAGCCAGTGGTGCGCGTCGCCAGCCCAGTCCGGCCCATCCAAGCTCCCCGCACCAAGCCAGTGGTGTGCGTCGTCAGTCCGGCACGGCCCGTTCCTGCTCTCCGCACCAAGTCTGTGGTGCGCGTCGCCAGCCCAGTCCGGCCCATCCAAGCTCCCCGCACCAAGCCAGTGGTGCGCGTCGCCAGCCCAGTCCGGCCCATCCAAGCTCCCCGCACCAAGCCAGTGGTGTGCGTCGTCAGTCCGGCACGGCCCGTTCCTGCTCTCCGCACCAAGTCTGTGGTGCGCGTCGCCAGCCCAGTCCGGCCCATCCAAGCTCCCCGCACCAAGCCAGTGGTGTGCGTCGTCAGTCCGGCACGGCCCGTGCCTGCTCTCCGCACCAGGTCTGTGGTGCGTTTCGTCAGCCCAGTCCGGCCCATCCAAGCTCCCCGCACCAGGTCAGTGGTGCGCGTCGTCAGCCCGGTCCGGCTCATTCCTGCTCCCCGCACCAAGTCCAGGGGTGTGTATCGTCAGCCCGGTCCGGCCAGTTGCTACTCCACGCATCAAGCCAGGGGTGCGCATCGTCAGCCCGGTCCAGTCCGTTCCTATTCCACGCACCAAGCCAGGGGTGCGTGTCGTCAGTCCGGCTCCGGCCAGCGGGGCTAGAGAGGACCAGGGGTACTTTGGGGGGTTGGAGAGGAAGTGGGGATCGGGTCCAGAGCCGGATCCGCCGCCAAGGCGGAGTGCCCACCCGGTCCCTCCCCTGTGGTTTAGTTGGCTCGGTCGGAGTCCGCGCCTTTAGGGGGGAGTACTGTCACGCCCTGGCTCTGGGGACACTGTTATGTTGAGCCAGGGTGTGTAGATCTATGTTCCCTATTTCTTTGTTGGCCTGAGTGACTCCCAATCAGAGGCAACGAGTGTCAGCTGTTTGCTGGTTGTCTCTGATTGGGAGCCATATTTAAACTGTCGGTTTTCCTTTGTGTTTTGTGGGTTCTTGTTTCAAGTTGGTTGTGTTATACCGTGTACTGTCACGTTTCCGTCTTTTGTTGTTTTGATCACGTTTCGCAAATAAATGAGTATGTTTGCCTGCAACGCTGCGCCTTGGTCCTCATCTGTTCCTGACGATCGTGACAGGGTGTTGTTAAGCCCGAGACGAAGTCGTGTTACCAACATATTCAAATAATGATTTACATATTATAAATAAAAACGTTATTTAGAAGAATTTATTCATACTATTTCATCCTTCCACAAGATATAGTCCCGACACAAATCTATGGTTGCTACCCAAGCCGGCTGGTCGTTCGTTCTATCGGTTCGGTTGCCAGAGAAGTATTTTTGTTCTGTATCTATGGTTACCCAGTTGTTCGTTCTAAATGTTCTATTGCCATACTGGCTGGCAAAGTTCTTATCCCTTGCTTTCTAGCTAGCCAACTAGGGCTATCTTACAGTCACGTCAAACAGTGCAACCCTGATAACAACAAAGTAGCTGCATTTGCATTTTTTAAAGCTGTATTCTAGTGACATTTATTTGGATACATCCATAACAATGAGCTTATGATGCGCGATTTCACCTGGCATAGAAAATGTGCTCTCTCGTCAGGACACTGTTGTTCAGAGGAGCTAGCCAACAACACAGCTAACACAATCACTTCAAACTGGAGCTGGAAAGACTGCAAACTAGCTGCACTTCGTTTCGTTTTACCTGTTTTCTATTGATAGTTCTTTGTATATATCCATAAAAATGATGCTGATTCATGATTTCGACTGGCTGAGAAAAGCTGCCTGCCTGTCGGTCTCGTCCCGACACGTCCATTACTATGGGACAGCTGGAGATAGAATTTGAATATTGAAACAATGTTGCAAATGTCGGAGAGACAGACAGCAAGGTTTATACAAATCTCCTCTGTTGAAAACGAAATGTTAGTTCAAAAGAAATGTGAGATAATGTCTAGATGCTTTTTATAGTGGAGATCAAGTTTATAAATTGCCTGGCTGGGCTGAAGAGACAGTGGATTGGGCAGTCAGATGGAACAGAATAAATAGGCATTTTAACATCATAGATTTAGCCGGTGGTAACTTGTGGAATAGACAACGGCTGGAATGCGGTTTAAACCAATCAGCATTCAGGATTAGACCAACCCGTTGTATAAATAAATATATTCTCTATACTTGGCATTTTCCAAATATCATATTATTGAGGAATTAAGATTGAGTGCAAAGGATGTGTTGAATAATAACCTACAGTTATTAGGAAGAGAAGACTCCCGTTAAGATTGTCCCAATGTGCCTGTTGTAGAAGATACAGTATTACAACTGCTTTCCCTTCTTAATCCACTGACTGGACACCTGCCTCTCCGCCCTGAACACAGTACAGTAGGTGTGTTTTATCAGTTCATAGTCCTGTCAGTTTAACAATGGAACATACATTCTGTGGCACTACAACACAAGGTTGGGTAAGAGCGTTGTGCCAGTAACCGAAAGGTCGCTGGTTCTAATCCCCGAGCAGACTAGGTGAAAAATCTGTCAATGTGCCCTTGAGCAAGGCACTTAACCCTAATTGCTCCTGTATGTCGCTCTGGATAAAAGCGTCTGCTAAATTACAAAAAATAATATATATATAACACAGTACATATTCCTCATTCCTTTTCTAAGTCTTCAATAAAAAAAAGTGTTTATTTCATGAGGAAATCATTACACAAGTAAATGTTGTGTTTGCAGCTACAGGATAATATAAAAGGTTGTTTCATTCACATTTCTGTTTCATTAGTGTCTGTATTCTTACAAAAAGGTCAAAACCCTACTAATACCCTACTAATACATACTGTATTACAAACAGTTTACCACAGTTCAAATGTCATAAGTCATTGTGGTCCAGTTGCTCTGTCTATTATCTACCCTAATCTAAAACCTTAATATGTACCTATGTCTGTGTTAATTGTCTGGTAGTGTTAGGTGCTGTCTGTTAGGAGGATCCCTGTGAGGAGGGGTTCCTGTCTGAGTTCTCCGTCTCGCCCTCTGAGATGGCCTGCATGGGGGCCGGGTGGTGTCTGCTGCGGATGCTGTAGTGGCTGCTGGTGGCTGGTGGAGGGATGCGTGAGCGGCTCTGTCTGAAGGAGGCTGCAGGGGACAGGCCTTTAGGAGACAAGTCCTCTGTGAAGGGTCTGGGGAGCTGCTCTGCGCATGGCGGGGGGGAGAGGGGCTCCTCCAGCGTGGGCAGGTGGTCTCCAGGGGACTTGTGGCCGATGGGGCTCTTCAGGATCTCTGTGGCCGACATGCGGTAGCTGGAGTCTGAGCGGCTGCCTTTCTTCAGGAGCAGTAGTTTGAACTCCTCGTTGGAGGTGGAGGACTTCTTCAGGCTGCGGTAGATGGGTCCTGGGGCCTTCTGGGGGCCAGTGGGGGTGCTGGGGGTCAGTGGGGTGCTAGGAGAGGTCACGGGAGAGGTCAAAGCATTGCCAGGTAGGGTCATAGGATTGCCAGGTGGCGTGCTCCCAGACGCAGCACACAGATGGCTCCGGGCACTCAACTCTCCAGAGTCCTTCCTGCCCAGAACTTTCCTCTTGGATCTATGGAGGACAATGGAACAGTGGTTAGGACTGGGTGTAACAGAACAGTAGTTAGGGTTATAGATAACAGAACAGTAGTTAGGGTTATAGATAACAGAACAGTAGTTAGGGTTATAGATAACAGAACAGTAGTTAGGGTTATAGATAACAGGACAGTAGTTAGGGTTATAGATAACAGAACAGTGGTTAGGTCTGGGTGTAACAGAACAGTAGTTAGGGTTATAGATAACAGAACAGTCGTTAGGGATATAGATAACAGAACAGTAGTTAGGGTTATAGATAACAGGACAGTAGTTAGGGTTATAGATAACAGGACAGTAGTTAGGGTTATAGATAACAGAACAGTGGTTAGGGTTATAGATAACAGAACAGTAGTTAGGGTTATAGATAACAGAACAGTGGTTAGGGTTATAGATAACAGAACAGTAGTTAGGGTTATAGATAACAGAACAGTAGTTAGGGTTATAGATAACAGAACAGTGGTTAGGGTTATAGATAACAGAACAGTGGTTAGGGTTATAGATAACAGAACAGTAGTTAGGGTTATAGATAACAGGACAGTGGTTAGGGTTATAGATAACAGGACAGTAGTTAGGGTTATAGATAACAGAAGAGTAGTTAGGGTTATAGATAACAGGAAAGTAGTTAGGGTTATAGATAACAGGACAGTAGTTAGGGTTATAGATAACAGAACAGTGGTTAGGTCTGGGTGTAACAGAACAGTAGTTAGGGTTATAGATAACAGAACAGTCGTTAGGGTTATAGATAACAGAACAGTAGTTAGGGTTATAGATAACAGAACAGTCGTTAGGGTTATAGATAACAGAACAGTAGTTAGGGTTATAGATAACAGGACAGTAGTTAGGGTTATAGATAACAGGACAGTAGTTAGGGTTATAGATAACAGAACAGTGGTTAGGGTTATAGATAACAGAACAGTAGTTAGGGTTATAGATAACAGAACAGTGGTTAGGGTTATATATAACAGAACAGTAGTTAGGGTTATAGATAACAGAACAGTAGTTAGGGTTATAGATAACAGAACAGTGGTTAGGGTTATAGATAACATAACAGTGGTTAGGGTTATAGATAACAGAACAGTAGTTAGGGTTATAGATAACAGAACAGTAGTTAGGGTTATAGATAAAAGAACAGTAGTTAGGGTTATAGATAACAGAACAGTAGTTAGGGTTATAGATAACAGAACAGTGGTTAGGGTTATAGATAACAGAACAGTGGTTAGGGTTATAGATAACAGAACAGTAGTTAGGGTTATAGATAACATAACAGTAGTTAGGGTTATAGATAACAGAACAGTAGTTAGGTATATAGATAACAGAACAGTCGTTAGGGTTATAGATAACAGGACAGTGGTTAGGGTTATAGATAACAGAACAGTAGTTAGGGTTATAGATAACAGAACAGTAGTTAGGGTTATAGATAACAGAACAGTAGTTAGGGTTATAGATAACAGAACAGTAGTTAGGGTTATAGATAACAGAACAGTAGTTAGGGTTATAGATAACAGAACAGTAGTTAGGGTTATAGATAACAGAACAGTCGTTAGGGTTATAGATAACAGAACAGTCGTTGGGGTTATAGATAACAGAACAGTCGTTGGGGTTATAGATAACAGAACAGTCGTTGGGGTTATAGATAACAGAACAGTCGTTGGGGTTATAGATAACAGAACAGTAGTTAGGGTTATAGATAACAGGACAGTGGTTAGGGTTATAGATAACAGAACAGTAGTTAGGGTTATAGATAACAGAACAGTAGTTAGGGTTATAGATAACAGAACAGTAGTTAGGGTTATAGATAACAGAACAGTGGTTAGGGTTATAGATAACAGGACAGTGGTTAGGGTTATAGATAACAGAACAGTAGTTAGGGTTATAGATAACAGAACAGTAGTTAGGGTTATAGATAACAGAACAGTAGTTAGGGATATAGATAACAGAACAGTAGTTAGGGTTATAGATAACAGAACAGTAGTTAGGGTTATAGATAACAGGACAGTGGTTAGGGTTATAGATAACAGAACAGTAGTTAGGGTTATAGATAACAGAACAGTAGTTAGGGTTATAGATAACAGAACAGTAGTTAGGGATATAGATAACAGAACAGTCGTTAGGGTTATAGATAACAGGACAGTGGTTAGGGTTATAGATAACAGAACAGTGGTTAGGGTTATAGATAACAGAACAGTAGTTAGGGTTATAGATAACAGAACAGTAGTTAGGGTTATAGATAACAGAACAGTAGTTAGGGTTATAGATAACAGAACAGTAGTTAGGGTTATAGATAACAGAACAGTCGTTAGGGTTATAGATAACAGAACAGTCGTTGGGGTTATAGATAACAGAACAGTCGTTGGGGTTATAGATAACAGAACAGTCGTTGGGGTTATAGATAACAGAACAGTCGTTGGGGTTATAGATAACAGAACAGTCGTTGGGGTTATAGATAACAGAACAGTCGTTGGGGTTATAGATAACAGAACAGTAGTTAGGGTTATAGATAACAGGACAGTGGTTAGGGTTATAGATAACAGAACAGTAGTTAGGGTTATAGATAACAGAACAGTAGTTAGGGTTATAGATAACAGAACAGTAGTTAGGGTTATAGATAACAGAACAGTGGTTAGGGTTATAGATAACAGGACAGTGGTTAGGGTTATAGATAACAGGTTAGGGTTATAGATAACAGAACAGTAGTTAGGGTTATAGATAACAGAACAGTAGTTAGGGTTATAGATAACAGAACAGTAGTTAGGGTTATAGATAACAGAACAGTAGTTAGGGTTATAGATAACAGAACAGTAGTTAGGGTTATAGATAACAGAACAGTAGTTAGGGTTATAGATAACAGAACAGTAGTTAGGGTTATAGATAACAGAACAGTAGTTAGGGTTATAGATAACAGAACAGTAGTTAGGGTTATAGATAACAGAACAGTAGTTAGGGTTATAGATAACAGAACAGTAGTTAGGGTTATAGATAACAGAACAGTAGTTAGGGTTATAGATAACAGAACAGTAGTTAGGGTTATAGATAACAGAACAGTAGTTAGGGTTATAGATAACAGAACAGTAGTTAGGGTTATAGATAAAAGAACAGTAGTTAGGGTTATAGATAACAGAACAGTAGTTAGGGTTATAGATAACAGAACAGTGGTTAGGGTTATAGATAACAGAACAGTAGTTAGGGTTATAGATAACAGAACAGTAGTTAGGGTTATAGATAACAGAACAGTAGTTAGGGTTATAGATAACAGAACAGTAGTTAGGGTTATAGATAACAGAACAGTAGTTAGGGTTATAGATAACAGAACAGTAGTTGGGGTTATAGATAACAGAACAGTAGTTAGCGTTATAGATAACAGAACAGTCGTTAGGGTTATAGATAACAGAACAGTGGTTAGGGTTATAGATAACAGGACAGTGGTTAGGGTTATAGATACAGAACAGTAGTTAGGGTTATAGATAACAGGACAGTGGTTAGGGTTATAGATAACAGAACAGTAGTTAGGGTTATAGATAACAGAACAGTAGTTAGGGTTATAGATAACAGAACAGTGGTTAGGGTTATAGATAACAGGACAGTGGTTAGGGTTATAGATAACAGAACAGTAGTTAGGGTTATAGATAACAGAACAGTAGTTAGGGTTATAGATAACATAACAGTAGTTAGGGTTATAGATAACAGAACAGTAGTTAGGGATATAGATAACAGAACAGTCGTTAGGGTTATAGATAACAGGACAGTGGTTAGGGTTATAGATAACAGAACAGTAGTTAGGGTTATAGATAACAGAACAGTAGTTAGGGTTATAGATAACAGAACAGTAGTTAGGGTTATAGATAACATAACAGTGGTTAGGGTTATAGATAACAGAACAGTAGTTAGGGTTATAGATAACAGAACAGTAGTTAGGGTTATAGATAACAGAACAGTGGTTAGGGTTATAGATAACAGGACAGTGGTTAGGGTTATAGATAACAGAACAGTAGTTATGGTTATAGATAACAGAACAGTAGTTAGGGTTATAGATAACAGAACAGTAGTTAGGGTTATAGATAACAGAACAGTAGTTAGGGATATAGATAACAGAACAGTCGTTAGGGTTATAGATAACAGGACAGTGGTTAGGGTTATAGATAACAGAACAGTAGTTAGGGTTATAGATAACAGAACAGTAGTTAGGGTTATAGATAACAGAACAGTAGTTAGGGTTATAGATAACAGAACAGTGGTTAGGGTTATAGATAACAGAACAGTAGTTAGGGTTATAGATAACAGAACAGTAGTTAGGGTTATAGATAACAGAACAGTAGTTAGGGTTATAGATAACAGGGTTACATTTGTAAAAGTTAGTGGACTTGTGTTTCTGGCATGTCAAAACAAGATTATTATCTTATTGATGAATCAAACTACCACCAGAAACCCACCTGTGTATAATGGCAAACAGGTCCTCTGTAGTACGTGCCTTGGTGGGCGACAGGAAGACATCATCTTCAGCCTTGGTCTCCTCATTAGAGTTGTCACTGGAGCTGGACTCTGGAAAACAGACAACTTATGTAGGCTATGTTAAAACAAGACAAGTATGTTAAAACAAGACAAGTATGTTAAAACAAGACAAGTATGTTAAAACAAGACACCTGATGTGGGCTATGTTAAAACAAGACAAGTATGTTAAAACAAGACAAGTATGTTATAACAAGACAACTGATGTGGGCTATGTTAAAACAAGACACCCGATGTGGGCTATGTTAAAACAAGACACCCAATGTGGGCTATGTTAAAACAAGACACCCATTTTGACTATCTATTTCACATTTCTAGTCATTGACAGCAACAGTTGAATGTCTGATACCTCACCTTTACTGCAGTAGCCCTGCTCTGTGTCTGGGGTGGTCTCTGTGTCTGGGGTGGTCTCTGTGTCTGGGGTGGTCTCTGTGTCTGGGGTGGTCTCTGTGTCTGGGGTGGTCTCTGTGTCTGGGGTGGTCTCTGTGTCTGGGGTGGTCTCTGTCTCTGGGGCGGTCTCTGTGTCTGGGGCGGTCTCTGTGTCTGGGGTGGTCTCTGTGTCTGGGGTGGTCTCTGTGTCTGGGGTGGTGTCTGGGTCTGGTAGTGTCTCCTGGTCTGGTAGTGTCTCCTGGTCTGGTAGTGTCTCCTGGTCTGCCAGTGTCTCCTGGTCTGCCAGTGTCTCCTGGTCTGGTAGTGTCTCCTGGTCTGGTAGTGTCTCCTGGTCTGGTAGTGTCTCCTGGTCTGGTAGTGTCTCCCGGTCTGCCAGTATTTCCTGGTCTGATAGTGTCTCCTGGTCTGGTAGTGTCTCCTGGTCTGGTAGTGTCTCCTGGTCTGGTAGTGTCTCCTGGTCTGCCAGTGTCTCCTGGTCTGATAGTGTCTCCTGGTCTGGTAGTGTCTCCTGGTCTGCCAATGTCTCCTGGTCTGATAGTGTCTCCTGGTCTGGTAGTATCACCTGGTCTGGTAGTTTTTCCTGGTCTGGTAGTGTCTCCTGGTCTGGTAGTGTCTCCTGGTCTGGTAGTGTATCCTGGTCTGGTAGTGTCTCCTGGTCTACCAATGTCTCCTGGTCTACCAATGTCTCCTGGTCTGATAGTGTCACCTGGTCTGATAGTGTCGCCTGGTCTGCCAGTATTTCCTGGTCTGGTAGTGTCTCCTGGTTTGCCAGTGCCTCCTGGTCTGCCAGTGTCTCCTGGTCTGATAGTGTATCCTGGTCTGGTAGTGTCACCTGGTCTGATAGTGTTTCCTGGTCTGATAGTGTCTCCTGGTCTGATAGTGTCTCCTGGTCTGATAGTGTCTTCTGGTCTGATAGTGTCTTCTGGTCTGATAGTGTCTCCTGGTCTGATAGTGTATCCTGGTCTGGTAGTGTCTCCTGGTCTGGTAGTGTCTCCTGGTCTGCCAGTGTCTCCTGGTCTGATAGTGTCACCTGGTCTGATAGTGTCTCCTGGTCTGCCAGTATTTCCTGGTCTGATAGTGTCTCCTGGTCTGATAGTGTCTCCTGGTCTGATAGTGTCTCCTGGTCTGGTAGTGTCTCCTGGTCTGATAGTGTCTCCTGGTCTGGTAGTGTTTCCTGGTCTGGTAGTGTCTCCTGCTCTGGTAGGATCACCTGGTCTGGTAGTGTCTCCTGGTCTGGTAGTGTCTCCTGGTCTGGTAGTGTATCCTGGTCTGGTAGTGTCTCCTGGTCTGGTAGTGTCTCCTGGTCTGCCAGTGTCTCCTGGTCTGATAGTGTCACCTGGTCTGATAGTGTCACCTGGTCTGATAGTGTCACCTGGTCTGCCAGTATTTCCTGGTCTGGTAGTGTCTCCTGGTCTGGTAGTGTCTCCTGGTCTGCCAGTGTCTCCTGGTCTGCCAGTGTCTCCTGGTCTGCCAGTGTCTCCTGGTCTGGTAGTGTCACCTGGTCTGGTAGTGTCTCCTGGTCTGGTAGTGTCTCCTGGTCTGCCAGTGTCTCCTGGTCTGGTAGTGTCTCCTGGTCTGCCAGTGTCTCCTGGTCTGGTAGTGTCTCCTGGTCTGGTAGTGTCTCCTGGTCTGGTAGTGTCTCCTGGTCTGGTAGTGTCTCCTGGTCTGCCAGTGTCTCCTGGTCTGCCAGTGTCTCCTGGTCTGATAGTGTCTCCTGGTCTGGTAGTGTTTCCTGGTCTGGTAGTGTCTCCTGCTCTGGTAGGATCACCTGGTCTGGTAGTGTCTCCTGGTCTGGTAGTGTATCCTGGTCTGGTAGTGTATCCTGGTCTGGTAGTGTCTCCTGGTCTGGTAGTGTCTCCTGGTCTGCCAGTGTCTCCTGGTCTGATAGTGTCACCTGGTCTGATAGTGTCACCTGGTCTGATAGTGTCACCTGGTCTGCCAGTATTTCCTGGTCTGGTAGTGTCTCCTGGTCTGGTAGTGTCTCCTGGTCTGCCAGTGTCTCCTGGTCTGCCAGTGTCTCCTGGTCTGCCAGTGTCTCCTGGTCTGGTAGTGTCACCTGGTCTGGTAGTGTCTCCTGGTCTGGTAGTGTCTCCTGGTCTGCCAGTGTCTCCTGGTCTGGTAGTGTCTCCTGGTCTGCCAGTGTCTCCTGGTCTGGTAGTGTCTCCTGGTCTGGTAGTGTCTCCTGGTCTGGTAGTGTCTCCTGGTCTGGTAGTGTCTCCTGGTCTGCCAGTGTCTCCTGGTCTGCCAGTGTCTCCTGGTCTGGTAGTGTCTCCTGGTCTGGTAGTGTCTCCTGGTCTGCCAGTGTCTCCTGGTCTGGTAGTGTGTGGTCTGATGAGACTCTGAAGGCGGTGGGACTCCACTGGGGTTCAGCAGGGTGTCTGTCCTGTCTGTACCTCACACTACTGTGACCTGCTGGTTCCCTAGCGACAGGGCTATCACTGGGGGTGAACAGTGACTCAAAGTACTGTTGAGAGGGGGGAACCTGGGAGTTGTAGGCTGGAGGCTTCCTGGCCTCAGTGGACCAGCTGTTGGAGGGGGGGCTGATGATGTTCACAGTGGTACACTTGGGTCTGATGTCAATTTCTGGGCCGGGCTGGTCAGGGCTCCCTCCCTGTTTGGTAGGGTTAGGGTTTTGGTTGGTAGGGTTAGAGTTAGGGTTGGCAGAGACTGGAGGAGGCCTGGTAGGGTTAGGGTTGGTAGGGTTAGGGCTGTTAAGGGCACTGAGGTCCAGGTGGCTGGGGGGGATGGTCGGCAGCTCCGGATCTCTGGTGGAGGTGACGGACAGAGATGACTTCCTCTCTGGAATCTTAGGCTTCCTTTTCTGATTGGTGGGTGACAGGGGACTAGGGAAGAAGGCTGAGGGGAAGTAGGAGGTGGGGGTTTCTGATTGGCTGGAGTAGCCACTAGAGGGTGACACTAAGCCGGTCAGCCTCTCTGGAGAGGACATCCTGAAGTCCCCTTCTACTGAGGGCAGGGAGGACATCCTGAAGTCCCCTTCTACTGAGGGCAGTGAGGACATCCTGAAGTCCCCTTCTACTGAGGGCAGGGAGGACATCTTGAAGTCTTCTACTGAGGGCAGGGAGGATATCTTGAAGTCCCCTTCTACTGAGGGCAGGGAGGACATCTTGAAGTCTTCTACTGAGGGCAGGGAAGACATCTTGAAGTCCCCTTCTACTGAGGGCAGGGAGGACATCTTGAAGTCCCCTTCTACTGAGGGCAGGGAGGACATCTTGAAGTCCTCTTCTACTGAGGGCAGTGAGTTGATTCTGAAGTCCCCTTCTACTGCGGGCAGGGAGGACATCTTGAAGTCTTCTACTGAGGGCAGGGAGGACATCTTGAAGTCCCCTTCTACTGAGGGCAGGGAGGAGATCTTGAAGTCTTCTACTGAGGGCAGGGAGGGTGTGGTGGCTCTGGAGCCTGACTGGGAGGCCTGGGGCTCTGAACTCTCCTGAACTCTCCTGCATTCTATAACAGTAGCACTGGTAGCAGTGGATGAGTTGGACAGGGAGCGGTAGGGGTCGGTGTTGGACTTCAAGTCATTAATGAGCCAGAGATCTGAATAGTCTGACTGGACAACTCCCTCATCCTTAAAGGAGTGTGTGTCAGAGTAACCAAACAGGCCGGAGCCAGGCATCTCCTGTCTACCCTCCCCCCGCCAGACCTCTAGACGGTCCAGAGGTTCCTGCTCTAACCCAAACCCCCCCAGGCCCCCCTCCCCTCTCAGAGCAGGGTCAGGGCGGCCCAGGGAGCCCTCCAGGTCCAGCTGTTGTCTCCTCTCTCTGGAGGACATCTCTCTCTGCTGCCCGCTGGGGGTCTTTGGTTCGCTGTCGTCAGGAGCGTCCCCCCCCCCTCTGATCTTCCTTAGTGAGGAGCTGCGCCTGGGGGCAGAGGGCTTGGCCTTGGGTTTCCTCAACATCAGACAGCGTCTCCCCAGAGTCATGTGCTCCTGGCCCCAGTCAGAGGCAGAGTAGTTATACATGAAGCTCTTGCTCCCTTTCAGACCACAGTCAAAGTGCATGGAGGTGTAGTAACCCTCAGTGTCTATGGAGTAGTATGATACAGTGTCAGCCTTCTCAGAAGGAGGCTTGTCTGTAGTGAAGCTCTCACAGGTAGCCATGCTGGAAAAGCTTGGGCAGCCCAGACTCCCCTCCCCCTCTCTGGAGCGCTCAGGGCTGAGGTCATGGGGCCTGGGGCTGGGGTGGTCAGGGTGTGGGTAACTCCACTCCCCGTCGCTAGCCGTGCTGACCCCCGCGCCGTCCAGCAGCCGGTCTGTCTGGTACGGGTCCAGGATGAAGAAGGGGGCGGGGTCAACCTTGGCGTTTGGGGCGGTGTTGAGAGACTGCTCCGAGTCACAGTGAGAGAAGCCAGTGAACGGGGGGGAGATGGCTTGAGGGAGGATCTCAGAGGTGTGGGAGGGGCATGTTGAGCTGCTGCCGCTCCAGTTCCCACTAGAAGACTGGTGGTCGTCTTTATGGTCCATCTGACACCCCAGAACTCCCCTGGTGGAGGTAGAGTGGAGCGGACTGGAGAAGGTGTCTGAGCTGGAGGACATCTCACAGCTCCCCATGTCAACCTTCCGGGGGAGGCGGGAGCGGCCCCTCTCCATCCAGGGGCTGCCAGGGTGCTGCTGGTACTTCAGGCTGGCCAGAGGGTGGTCCGGCTGGGCCTGGTCATCGGTACTCTCCCCTCCCTCCTCCTTCAGCTCCCCCGGCCCGGACAGGAAGTCCTCAGTCTTGTAGGGAGACAGCTCCTCTTCCTCCTCATCATCTTCCTCGTCCATCAGTCTCCCCTCCTCCATCGGCAGGCTGCGGAACCGGAGACGCACACCCAGCGAGGAGGAGAACATGGCATCGCGCTCCGAGGCGTCTGGTAACGGGAGAGAGGAGATGTTCCCCGTGGAGACGGACAGGGACGTGGAGATGGAGCTGACCCTGTGCTGACCCCGCTGTGACCGGAGCCTGCGGCGGGACGGAGCACTGACAAGGAAGTCTTCAGTCTGGCAGCCGGAGTCCTTCTTGGTGTTCAGATGGCTGAACAGGTCCTCACTACAGAGGACAGGGTTGCCATAGACGACCACCGTCTGCTCCCTGGCGCCCAGAGACTCATCAGAGTCTGGAGGAAGAGAGACATGAAGACACATGGAGTCATTATTCAAAACAGAGAATAATTATATTTCACTGAAGAGTTGATTATACAATCAGAGATAAATGAAACAGTATAACATCAAGCTAGACAAAACAGCTTTTTAGGGGTTCAAGCAGCAAAGCTGCTGCTCCTATTTCAACGTAATTTCCTGTCCTAGAGAGATAATGCACATTTAGGTTCCACCTCTGAAGAATGACAAAGGCTACGAATTAGGTGTGGGAATTTCCAAGTGCAGTTTATAAACGTAATGAACAAATAGGTCCATGACAGCTATCAGTATAGTTAGCTAGCATGCTAACCTTCTCCAGCTAGCTAATGTTATCTACTGTTGCTGTTTGTTTTTTACTACACAGTAGTGGCTCTATGACTGGTTCTGGAGCTGGATTTGTCATAAGCATTGATTTAGGGAAAACCTCACCACAGATGGAAACCACTGCCTTATCTCTGACGTCACCACAGATGGAAACCACTGCCTTATCTCTGACTACACCACAGATGGAAACCACTGCCTTATCTCTGACTTCACCACAGATGGAAACCACTGGCTTATCTCTGACTTCACCACAGATGGAAACCACTGCCTTATCTCTGACTTCACCACAGATGGAAACCACTGCCTTATCTCTGACTTCCCCACAGATGGAAACCACTGCCTTATCTCTGACGTCACCACAGATGGAAACCACTGGCCTATCTTTGACTTCACCACAGATGGAAACCACTGCCTTATCTCTGACTTCACCACAGATGGAAACCACTGGCCTATCTTTGACTTCACCACAGATGGAAACCACTGGCCTATCTTTGACTTCACCACAGATGGAAACCACTGGCCTATCTTTGACTACACCACAGATGGAAACCACTGGCCTATCTTTGACTTCACCACAGATGGAAACCACTGGCCTATCTTTGACTTCACCACAGATGGAAACCACTGCCTTATCTCTGACTTCACCACAGATGGAAACCACTGCCTTATCTCTGACTTCACCACAGATGGAAACCACTGGCCTATCTTTGACTTCACCACAGATGGAAACCACTGGCCTATCTCTGACTTCACCACAGATGGAAACCACTGCCTTATCTCTGACTTCACCACAGATGGAAACCACTGGCCTATCTTTGACTTCACCACAGATGGAAACCACTGGCCTATCTTTGACTTCACCACAGATGGAAACCACTGGCCTATCTTTGACTACACCACAGATGGAAACCACTGGCCTATCTTTGACTTCACCACAGATGGAAACCACTGGCCTATCTTTGACTTCACCACAGATGGAAACCACTGCCTTATCTCTGACTTCACCACAGATGGAAACCACTGCCTTATCTCTGACTTCACCACAGATGGAAACCACTGGCCTATCTTTGACTTCACCACAGATGGAAACCACTGGCCTATCTTTGACTTCACCACAGATGGAAACCACTGGCCTATCTTTGACTACACCACAGATGGAAACCACTGGCCTATCTTTGACTACACCACAGATGGAAACCACTGCCTTATCTCTGACTTCACCATCTACTGTTATCGCCAAACTTTTGGCATCTTCCATAAATTGTGGCCACAAATCCGCCATTGAAATAGTTTAAAAGAATAACATTGTAATGGACACGGTGCAGCCTTTGTTAGGCTGCTGGCAGGCTGGGGTCCAGCAAAGCCAAGTCAGCTCGTGCTGATGGTTCTCACAGGGGAAGTGAAATGATAGGCTACAATGACTTTGCTCATGATCATGCACGCCGTAAATGACACGTAACTACACTACCGGTCAAAAGTTTTAGAATCTGTATTGTTGTCTATCACTTGTTTTCTTTGGCGCAAATAAACAAACCAAATTAATATGTACACTACCGGTCAAAAGTTTGGACACACCTACTCATTCAAGGGTTTTTCTTTATTTTTACTATTTTCTACATTGTAGAATAAAAGTGAAGACATCAAAACTATGAAATAACACATATGGAATCATGTAGTAACCAAAAAAGTGTTCAACAAATCAAAATATATTTTATATTTGAGATTCTTCAAATAGCCACCCTTTGCCTTGATGACAGCTTTGCACACTCTTGGCATTCGTGGTCCTCTGTAGCTCAGCTGGTAGAGCACGGCACTTGTAACGCCAAAGTAGTGGCTTCGATCCCCGGGACCACCCATACACAAAAAAATGTTTTATGCACGCATGACTGTAAGTCGCTTTGGATAAAAGCGTCTGCTAAATGGCATATTATTATTATTATTCTCTCAACCAGCTTCATGAGGTAGTCACCTGGAATGCATTTCAATTAACAGGTGTGCCTTCTTAAAAGTTAATTTGTGGAATTTCTTTCCTTCTTAATGTGTTTGAGCCAATCAGTTGTGTTGTGACAAGGTATGGGGGGTATACAGAAGATAGCCCTATTTGGTAAAAGACCAAGTCCATATTATGGCAAGAACAGCTCAAATAAGCAAAGAGAAACGACAGTCCATCATTACTTTAAGACATGAAGGTCAGTCAATCCGGAACATTTCAAGAACTTTGAAAGTTTTTTCAAGTGCAGTTGCAAAAACCATCAAGCGCTATGATGAAACTGGCTCTCATGAGGACTGCCACAGGAATGGAAGACCCAGAGTTACCTCTGCTGCAGAGGATAAGTTCATTAGAGTTACCAGCCTCAGAATTTGAAGCCCAAATAAATGCTTCACAGTGTTCAAGTAACAGACACATCTCAACATCAACTGTTCAGAGGACACTGTGTAAATCAGGCCTTCATGGTCGAATTGCTGCAAAGAAACCACTACTAAAGGACACCAATAATAAGAAGAGACTTGCTTGGGCCAAGAAACACGAGCAATGGACATTAGTCCTTTGGTCTGGAGTCCAAATTGGAGATTTCTGGTTCTTTGTGAGATGCGGTGTGGGTGAACGGATGATCTCCGCATGTGTATTTCCCACCGTAAAGCATAGAGGAGGAGGTGTTATGGTGTGGGGGTGCTTTGCTGGTAAACTGTCAGTGTTTTATTTAAAATTCAAGGCACTCTTAACCAGCATGGCTACCACAGCATTCTGCAGCGTTACACCATCCCATCTGGTTTGGGCTTAGTGGGACTATAATTTGTTTTTTTCCCCAGGCCGTGTAAGGGCTATTTTACCAAGAAGGAGAGTGATGGAGTGCTGCATCAGATGACCTGGCCTCCACAATCCCCGACCTCAACCAAATTGAGATGGTTTGGGATGAGTCGGACCCCAGAGTGAAGGAAAAGCAGCCAACAAGCGCTCAGCATATGTGGGAACTCCTTCAAGACTGTTGGAAAAGCATTCCAGGTGAAGCTGGTTGAGAGAATGCCAAGAGTGTGCAAAGCTGTCATCAAGGCAAAGGGTGGCTATTTGAAGAATCTCAAATATAAAATATATTTTGATTTGTTGAACACTTTTTTGGTTACTACATGATTCCATGTGTTATTTCATCATTTTGATGTCTTCACTATTATTCTACAATGTAGAAAATAGTACAAATAAAGAAAAAGCCTTGAATGAGTAAGTGTTCTATAACTTTTGACCGGTAGTGTAAATATGAATTTTGTTTGTTTTATTTATTTGCGCCAAAGAAAACAAGTGATAGACTACAATACAGATAAAACTTTAAATATTTTTTTTTACGGTGTTCAGGTGTGATTGGAAGCCAAAGGGCTGATATGAAAACCACATAAAAACTAAATACAATACATAAGTATAAAAATAAAAAAGGTTTGTTAAAACAGACAACAAATCCTCCTAATTATAAATGTATACATTAATTTATCAGTAATCACTCAAAAACAACAACATTTGTATGCATGTGAGAGTTAGGCTATATGGAGGAGATTACTGTGTAGTTTGGTTCATCAGGCTGACCCCCAGTCTTTGCTTGAAGTTATTGAAGGATGATGATGTTTTGGTAATGTGATGTTAAGAATTCCAGAGTATGGGACCTCTGTATCTGATAGAGAATTGGCTATGAGAGGTGCGGCAGTGGGGAGGGTGAAGGTTATCGCAGTATCTTGTGTTATATACAGTGGGGGAAAAAAGTATTTAGTCAGCCATCAATTGTGCAAGTTCTCCCACTTAAAAAGATGAGAGAGGCCTGTAATTTTCATCATAGGTACACGTCAACTATGACAGACAAAATGAGAAAAAAAATCCAGAAAAACACATTGTAGGATGTTTTATGAATTTATTTGCAAATTATGTTGGAAAATAAGTATTTGGTCAATAACAAAAGTTTCTCAATACTTTGTTATATACCCTTTGTTGGCAATGACACAGGTCAAACGTTTTCTGTAAGTCTTCACAAGGTTTTCACACACTGTTGCTGGTATTTTGGCCCATTCCTCCATGCAGAACTCCTCTAGAGCAGTGATGTTTTGGGGCTGTTGCTGGGCAACACAGACTTTCAACTCCCTCCAAAGATTTTCTATGGGGTTGAGATCTGGAGACTGGCTAGGCCACTCCAGGTCCTGGTCCCTTTGCAGAAAAACAGCCCCAAAGCATGATGTTTCCACCCCCATGCTTCACAGTAGGTATGGTGTTCTTTGGATGCAACTCAGCATTCTTTGTCCTCCAAACACAACGAGTTGAGTTTTTACCAAAAAGTTATATTTTGGTTTCATATGACATTCTTCCAATCCTCTTCTGGATCATCCAAATGCACTCTAGCAAACTTCAGACGGGCCTGGACATGTACTGGCTTAAGCAAGGGGACATGTCTGGCACTGCAGGATTTGAGTCCCTGGCGGCGTAGTGTGTTACTGATGGTAGGCTTTGTTACTTTGGTCCCAGCTCTCTGCAGGTCATTCACTAGGTCCCCCCGTGTGGTTCTGGGATATTTGCTCACCGTTCTTGTGATCATTTTGACCCCACGGGGTGAGATCTTGCGTGGAGCCCCAGATCGAGGGAGATTATCAGTGGTCTTGTATGTCTTCCATTTCCTAAT